GCAGGGCTTTCCCACAGAATTGATAATGTGATCGTAAAGTACTTTAACTTCTAGTACAAAAGTAATAAAAATTGAAACAATTAGACATACGACAGTCCGCTAAAAATTCAGGTTTTTTAGTTTTCTTGAGGGCTTCGTTTACATGCATGCGATTTTGTTCATCAGCTTTATTTTCCATGGGAGGATCTGTGGCCTCTTTGGTCCATATTTCTGAATCATCAAGATAGCTGGGTAGAATCATTAATTGCATTACATCATTAATCATGGAAAATTTAAGGTTAATCACTGTATGCATTACCAAAGGTAAGAAAGCATTGTAAAAGATACAATAATCATTAATATCAATTAAACTTATCAATCAATCAATCAAAGGTACGAGTGCATTTAACAAGGTAAGTTAAGGTAAGTTAATTATAACGGTATAATTAAGGTCATTTCGATACTTGCATTGTCAAAGGTACGTATACATTAACAAAGGTATAAAAATTATAAATCAATATCGATTATCGAAAAAGTGTGCTATTTTGTGTATTTCTATTACTACTTGGATTCAATCTGGAAAACTCAATACTTGCCAAAGCAAGTTTTAGCTATCAAAATTACAGACCCGGTTTTGATTTATCAATTCCTCTCTTTTCAAAAAACCATTCTACTCGCGGTAAAACTTTAATGGAACCTGAAGATGGGCCCGAATATCAGTTAGTTGATGATGTGGTTATTGAAACGATAGATACAACTCGATTAGATAGCAGTGATCGAAAGAATCTTTTGGTTTTCAGAGGCAAAAGATACACTCATGGAATAGGAAGTGAAACCCGAAACACTCTTCATCATTTACATAATGTTCGTGATATACTCATCTATACTACGATGTAAACATGGTAAAAAATGGAAAGATTTGAAAGATGAAAGATGTGCAAAAGACAATTTGGAATACGAAAAATTCAACTACAGCATATTAATGGCCAATTCAGCATTCTGGCTTGTTCCAAGAGGTAAAAGGCTTGGTTCATTCAGATTTTTGGAAGCTTTGGCAAACGGCTGTATTCCGGTTTTATTGTCAAACAATTGGGTTAAACCTTTTGAAGATGTAATCGATTGGTCAGAAATTGTAGTTGAAGGAGATGAGCGAAGTCTTTTACAGCTGCCAGAAATCATAAGATCTTATGAATGGAAGAAGATACAGCAAATGGCAGCAAAAAGTTTGGCTGTTTATGAAACCTATTTTTCAAGTGTAGAAAGAATTGTATATACAACAATAGATATACTCAATGAAAGAATTCAAACTCATTTGAGTTTTACAACATTCTTATGGATTCTGGTCAACCCTAGTTTCACTAGCTTCACTGGTGCCATTTGGTATGATGCTGAATATAGCTTTGATCTGAAAGATTATCCAGGCTATGGAAAACTCAGTAATTCTTACTCATCTTCACGTTCATCTCCTTTATCATCATCATCTGCTTCATCAGATTCATTCGAATTGTAGATACTCAAGTTGCACTCACCAATGAACAATAAATATTTGGACTCAATCAAGGTTCAAGGATAAAAACTGGTGGCCTCAACTTCGTGAAATGAATAACCGTTGGATCTTTTAAGAAAGTCAATATTTTAGTATTTTGTTTGTTAATCACTTACTGAATCAAGGAAGCAATCACAAATCTCAATCGGAAAACCTTTTCAAAGACTATTAAGACACATGAAAACTTGAATAACATATTTCGCACATAAAACTTGATGCTTTCAGTTTCTTACTTTCCAGTTGGAATCATATTTTTGAATTTGAAGGCTTTTGTGTACTTTTGTATAAACTGCACTTTTCTTTTATACATTGTGCACCATTTTTCTGAGAATTAAATGCTGTACAATTTACGTATTATAGAATCACACATTCAAGCTAAATACCTTAAGAATTAGCATAAAAATTTTTTCAAAAAGTGCAAATTAAACAACTTCCAGAGCTTTTACATTTAAAAATCATTTGGAGCCCCGTATACTTACTGACAAAGTAAGTATACGGGGCTCCAAACGAGGCTGACTGAAGCAGAAAGGATTGATGAGAGGCTAATCAATGAAATTAAGGACAATTGATTCATTCTGAAAACCAGATGAAACTAAATGATTTATTCACAAAACTTGAATTGAAAACTAGATTCAACTGTAATAAAACTAACTTGATGATCACGTTGGTCAATTGGTCAGCTTTATCTTATTTTTCTCGTCTAAAAAATAAATATTTGGACTTTGAACTGATAAAAATTCTAACTGTTATATTAATAACTCCCTAATGCAAAAAGAGTCAACTTTGAACGCGATTTCATCTGAAAATGATTAATGATCGAAAATATGATTTCATTATTAGCCTTCTAAGTCTTAGCTGTTAATTATTCTGAACTTATTCATTGATTGCAGCGAACATGAAAAGCTTCATTTTGCAATATTCAAAGATAATAAAGTTAAACACACATTAACAACAAATAAATATGCTAAAAGATTTTAATTTTCAAAAATAATCATATTGTAATGGAAGTTTAAATTGTAATTTGTCCTGCTTTTGATCGTTTTAAACTGACATCCTTTAATTGCCACAATCTTGAGCGGTTGTTGTAAGTTTATCGGTTTCAACTCCAATAGCCTTCAGTTTAGCAACGAGTTGATCTACAATATCGCTGTCTAAGTTTGGTTTTCGTGATAAAATCCAAGCATTCTCTGTAATAAATGATCATGAAATAATTAATTTTATTGCAATCATCAAGGCTTATGAAGAATAGATTAACACTCACTTAAGTTGAATAAACCAAGAACATCATTACAAGAAACGACCAAAGAGTATGTTTCATAATCAGTATCAACAATCCAGTATTGAGCAGATGGAGAGACTTAAGATGAAACGGGAAAATATCATTTTAATTTTACAGTCGAGTTTAATTGACTAATTTGATGAAGCTGACCATCTATCAAATATACTTACATTGGAAGAAGCTGACAGCAAAAACATTTGATTGAGTTCCTGGCTTAGCAGTTCCAACGACTGAAACTTGAGTATTGATCAAGCTCACTCCAGTGTTGTTTACAGCAACATTACCGTTTGATTCGACTGTATATTCAGTTTTTACACAACGGAGACCAAGTTCAAAGATGAGATCAGTTCGTTTGATTTCATACCATTTTCCAAGATACTGAGGAAATCAGTGAGAATCGAGTTAAATTAAAATGAACACTGTTTAAAATCCTAATCTAATTACTTACCCGAGAAAGGTTCAAGCCTCCATCAATTTCAGTTGTTTGGGGGCATCGACCAGGAGACAAGCTGGATCCGAGTTGACAAAGGGTTGATGAGAGGACAATCAATGAAATTAAGGCTAATTGATTCATTTTAGGAACGAGGTAAAACTAAAGAGTTTATTAACAAAAGTTGAATTGTTGACAGAAGATTTAACTGTGTGAAGTCGAATTGATGATCATTTCTTTCAATTAGCTTGGTTTATATACCCATCCTTCTCACTTCGATCAGATCATCTTTGTATCGATAAAAGGTCTAACCCCCTTACAAGTAAAAACATTTCCAGGAAATATAAAATCATTCATTGTGGTGCACAAATTATCGTTACTATTATTTTATTCAAATTGTATTGTTAGCATAGAAATATTATGATTATAATTGTTCGTCGTGATAAATTTCATTTGTAACTTAATTAACCTCAAGTTACTTATCTTGTATTTCTAATGATTATTGTGAACTCGCATGAAAAGCAAACCGATTTGACGAAATTTCATGTTAATTTTGATAATTGATTACTTGAAATGCTTCTTATCTCACTTTTGAATGTCATCAATCAATGCCGGATTTATTAATATTATCTTACAATATATCAGTTGATTATCTATTTGTTTCAATGATTCCGGATCTATATTACCTATTCTTAAATGTCAAGCTATCGAATTCGTCTTCAAAGCTGTAGCTGATCACAAGCTCAACAAATTCAAGGCTTGCATTTAGCTTTATCTTTTCATATCATTCTTCATCAAACATTTTTTGGACTTATTTCCATCGATTCATTATGAAATTTCCCGAGTGAAATCGTACCAGGAAGGTCCCTTCCCTTAGATTTTGAGAAAGATTTCGAGAGAATTAAACAATCATAAAACCGAATTTTTTGTGATAAAAATCTTGAGTTTCATTCAGATGACCTGAGGTACTTCCCTCATAAGAAATGGATTATTTATATGCGAAAGGTTAGCAAATACAGTTTCTGTGATAACCAAAACTTGTTGAATGGCTGGATTTAAAGGTACCACTTTTGTTGGTATCGACCTTTGAACTTAACTTCTCCTAAGGGAAGAAATTTCAAGAGTTTTTTTCAAAGGGGTCATTTTACTCAAATAATTTTTCATTCGACAAAACTAAAATCCATGTTTGTCCATCAACCACATCAGAAGGTACTTGATGAAAGTCCTTGTGCATCACAAAGGTATTATCAACAACTTTAATAGAACTTGCATGTCGTTTTACGGAGTCTACAACATGTATATTTCCTGCCGCTTGTTCGATGGATCGATGAATACATTCCGTGAAAATACAAATAGGTGCATCATCTTCCGAAGCTGCATTATCCAAAAATAAAGTTGCCTCAGTTGAATTAACACAGTTTCCATAATAGACTTTTAAATCTTCAATTGACTGCATGGTGCGGAAGATCAAACAATTCAAAACATAAACTTAATACCAAATGAACCACACCTAACCCTTTCATCATGTTAAAAGCCAAGAAACAAAAAGAAAACACAACGAGGACTCCGCAGTTCGTTAATTGGTCATCTTTTGACCTATCAAGGCAATCTGTTATGGTTCATAACAAAGTGTCAACTTTCAACTTTAAAATGACTCTTATGAGTCAAATAATCTCAACGTACCTTTTCAACTTTAAAATGACTCTTTTGAGTCAAATTAACTTCATAAACTGTTTCAGTTCAAAACAACAACATTTTAAGTGCACAAAGTAAACTTTGAAAGAAAACAATAAAAACATCAAAGTAAAGAAAAATCGTTTATTATTTCAAAAGGAAAAGTTATTCACTATTACATTCATTTTTTGGCGGTTTGCCTGAGTCTGGCGATGTTCCCTCGGCTATTTCCCTTTCGACCATCATTGTCTTTATCAGGTGTGTAGACGCCAGCTCCTACACAATTCAACCCGATTGCCGGATTGTGACAATGAATGTCACATTTGTGCCCAGGTGCACCTATCATACCGCAACCTTTCTCGTGTCGAACTTTATTAGAGCTTTTAGAAAAGTTGTGCCCACACCATCGACAACGATATTTTTCTGTAATATCATCTATAAAATGACGAGGGTTCCCACAATCTTGTAACTTAGATATATCTCGCGTGAAACCTTTGGGTATTGGCCCAGTGTACCCTGTTACTTGCGAAGGTGGATTTAGAGTATTGTAGTGCGCCAATTCGTATCGAAAATTTAGATCGACCAAGCTAAGCATTTTAAATCGTTTGCAAATACAAACAATTCTATAAAGTAAAAGGAGTCGGTAAAAAGTCCAAAAATTCAAAAGCAGCAATACTATGGGAATATTGAAAATAGATTCAGAAAATGTCGATGAGCATCTTGACCATTATATCATAAATTCGGTCTGAATTTACTTCGTATTTTTAGTTATAGCCCAAACAAGTGCTATTTGACCCAAAATAACTTTGTTGTCCAGGTCAATACATCAAGCAGAACGATTCTAACTAACCCAAACGAATGTATTAATATAAACAATTGGATGAACAAATTAGCCCGCAAGCATAAAACTGTCCAACTTTTGATATTTGAATTAAAAAGTAATAAATTGCAAAGAAAATCAAATAAAATTAATTTGAATAAACAATGCTGTTTTTGGCATAAGCGAGTGACTGATGATAGCCTTGAATTTGTTGAGCTTGTGATCAGCTACAGCTTTGAAGACGAATTCGATAGCTTGACATTTAAGAATAGGTAATATAGATCCGGAATCATTGAAACAAATAGATAATCAACTGATATATTGTAAGATAATATTAATAAATCCGGCATTGATTGATGACATTCAAAAGTGAGATAAGAAGCATTTCAAGTAATCAATTATCAAAATTAACATGAAATTTCGTCAAATCGGTTTGCTTTTCATGCGAGTTCACAATAATCATTAGAAATACAAGATAAGTAACTTGAGGTTAATTAAGTTACAAATGAAATTTATCACGACGAACAATTATAATCATAATATTTCTATGCTAACAATACAATTTGAATAAAATAATAGTAACGATAATTTGTGCACCACAATGAATGATTTTATATTTCCTGGAAATGTTTTTACTTGTAAGGGGGTTAGACCTTTTATCGATACAAAGATGATCTGATCGAAGTGAGAAGGATGGGTATATAAACCAAGCTAATTGAAAGAAATGATCATCAATTCGACTTCACACAGTTAAATCTTCTGTCAACAATTCAACTTTTGTTAATAAACTCTTTAGTTTTACCTCGTTCCTAAAATGAATCAATTAGCCTTAATTTCATTGATTGTCCTCTCATCAACCCTTTGTCAACTCGGATCCAGCTTGTCTCCTGGTCGATGCCCCCAAACAACTGAAATTGATGGAGGCTTGAACCTTTCTCGGGTAAGTAATTAGATTAGGATTTTAAACAGTGTTCATTTTAATTTAACTCGATTCTCACTGATTTCCTCAGTATCTTGGAAAATGGTATGAAATCAAACGAACTGATCTCATCTTTGAACTTGGTCTCCGTTGTGTAAAAACTGAATATACAGTCGAATCAAACGGTAATGTTGCTGTAAACAACACTGGAGTGAGCTTGATCAATACTCAAGTTTCAGTCGTTGGAACTGCTAAGCCAGGAACTCAATCAAATGTTTTTGCTGTCAGCTTCTTCCAATGTAAGTATATTTGATAGATGGTCAGCTTCATCAAATTAGTCAATTAAACTCGACTGTAAAATTAAAATGATATTTTCCCGTTTCATCTTAAGTCTCTCCATCTGCTCAATACTGGATTGTTGATACTGATTATGAAACATACTCTTTGGTCGTTTCTTGTAATGATGTTCTTGGTTTATTCAACTTAAGTGAGTGTTAATCTATTCTTCATAAGCCTTGATGATTGCAATAAAATTAATTATTTCATGATCATTTATTACAGAGAATGCTTGGATTTTATCACGAAAACCAAACTTAGACAGCGATATTGTAGATCAACTCGTTGCTAAACTGAAGGCTATTGGAGTTGAAACCGATAAACTTACAACAACCGCTCAAGATTGTGGCAATTAAAGGATGTCAGTTTAAAACGATCAAAAGCAGGACAAATTACAATTTAAACTTCCATTACAATATGATTATTTTTGAAAATTAAAATCTTTTAGCATATTTATTTGTTGTTAATGTGTGTTTAACTTTATTATCTTTGAATATTGCAAAATGAAGCTTTTCATGTTCGCTGCAATCAATGAATAAGTTCAGAATAATTAACAGCTAAGACTTAGAAGGCTAATAATGAAATCATATTTTCGATCATTAATCATTTTCAGATGAAATCGCGTTCAAAGTTGACTCTTTTTGCATTAGGGAGTTATTAATATAACAGTTAGAATTTTTATCAGTTCAAAGTCCAAATATTTATTTTTTAGACGAGAAAAATAAGATAAAGCTGACCAATTGACCAACGTGATCATCAAGTTAGTTTTATTACAGTTGAATCTAGTTTTCAATTCAAGTTTTGTGAATAAATCATTTAGTTTCATCTGGTTTTCAGAATGAATCAATTGTCCTTAATTTCATTGATTAGCCTCTCATCAATCCTTTCTGCTTCAGTCAGCCTCGTTGACTCAGTAAGTATACATTTGTTGGGGCGGAATTGCTGAGAAAGGATCACTATCAAATGTTTTTAATGCCACTTTCATCCTTTGTAAGTATACTTGATAGATGATCAGCTTCATCAAATTAGTCAATTAAACTCGACTGTAAAATTAAAATGATATTTTCCCGTTTCATCTTCAGACTCTGAATTCGCTCAATACTGGATTGTTGATACTGATTATGTATGATACATACTCTTTGGTTGTTTCTTTTAATGATTTTAATAACTTTCTCTTTGTCAGTGAGTATCAATTCAACTTTTATAAATTATTTGGTTTTTGTAATACAATTAATCATGTTATCATTATCTATTACAGAGAATGCTTGGGTTTTACGACGAAAACCAAAATTAGAGAGCGATATTGTAGATCGACTCGTTGCTCAACTGAAGACTCTTGGAATCGACTCCAAAAACCTTTCAACCACCACTCAAGATCGTGAGAATTAAAGGATGTTAGTTCAAAGCGATCAAATAGCAGAGACAATTTAAACTTTCACTTCATTATTTTTGAAAATTAAAATCTTATAACCTGCAAGGAAAAGTTTAGGAATTTTTGGTGTCTTTTTTTACCTCGCAAGGTAAGTAAAAATATCTCGTATATCTCGTGCGGTAATGGTTGAATTTTTCTGAAAATTCAACATGTTATGATTAGATAATGTAGCTTTGATATCTGAGAAATTTTGTACTAACGATTCAGGTCGTTTATCAAATCATGCAGTTATAATACTCCCCGAAAAGACCGTGGCCAAATGAGAGCTCATTTTCATTTTAATTTAAAATTCCACGCAGGTTAGATTTTGATGAGACATAGCTTTGCAAGATTATTGTATAAGAAGACAAACCAGGAATAGATATTAATATCCCAATTGATCCAAGTCTTGTGCCGAAAGCAAACTAGAGAAAGCGTAAGGCCAGCGCATAAAGTTGACACGTTTTTTTGCGCTTAACGCAATAATTTTCACTCAAGCAAAAGTATCAATGTCTGTTCATACAACACATTTGATAAATTATGTTTTACTTTTGAAATCAAAAAATAGCTTGTTGGTTAAAGAGTCGGTCAAGATTGATTTATAATTAAGAGTTTGAGAGAATCGAGTCAAGTTAGAGAAATCTTTTGTTACTATAAATTGAAACGTGCGTGTAGCGCGCATAAATTTCATCAAATGCGTAACTGGTATCAAATCTGGTAATTAAGTTTCACGCTCGTGTTTACAGTTACTTTATTTGGATCAATCAGGATATTTTTAATAAATCATTTGTGCCGTCATTAATATGAAAGTTATTCCTACTTTTTCACTATTTCTCAGCCGAAAAATTGTATTAGGGATTTGTATGATCATTTGACCTAGGTATGAAAAATAAGTTTCAGAAATAATATGCACAGTCCATCTCTATCTTTGAGCAATAGAGGGACAGCATAAATTGATTCTCGAAATTTCAGTCCATCTTGTAATATTAAAACAGTCATTTAACTTGGTTATTCCTGATTGATTGTGTATCCGATTTACAATTTACTTGTTCAAGTGGAAAATTTCTAACTGTATTTTAATTTCAAAAAATCTTTTAATCTCGTTCATTGGATTTGAAATATTAATATTTGATGTTGAATGTAATACATGCAATGTAGTAATTGAAATAAATTAAAAATTTTATATTTTTGGATTGCAACTTTAATTATCAAAAATAATCATTATTTATTAGATTTTTAAATTCAATTTTTTCAACTCCTTGATGGCTGAATCGCATTTATTTGTCACAATTTTGTGTGGTTGTTGAGAGGAGGGAAGATGGAACTCCAAGTTTGCCTAATTTATCAACAAGTCGCTTAACAATTTCTTCATCTAATTTTGGTTTTCGTGATAAAATCCAAGCGTCCTCTGCAATGAATGAAAATGAAATGGTTAATTATATTGCAATTACCAATAGATATATCAAAGCTGGATTAATACTTACTCAAGTTGAATAAACCAAGAACATCATTACATGAAACAACCAAAGAGTATGTTTCATAATCAGTATCAACAATCCAGTATTGTGAAGATGGAGACACTAAAGATGACAGGGAAATGTTATTTCAATTCTCAAACTAAGTTTGTCTGAATGTTTTAATGAAGCACAGCATTGACCAAATATACTTACATGGGAAGAAGGTGACAGCGAAAACATTTGACTGAGTTCCTGGCTTGGCAGTTCCAACACTGTAGACTTCAAAGTTAACCAAGTTAACTCCACTGTTGTTTACAGCAACATTGCCGTCTGAGTCGAGTTTGTATTCAGCTTTGACACAACGTTGACCAAATTCGAAGACTAAACCAGTTCGTTTAATTTCATACCATTTTCCAAGATACTGAGGAAATCAATAGGAATTAAGTTAGCTTAAGATGAACATAATGTAAGATCTGAATCCAATTACTTACTTGAGTAAGGTTGAAGCCTCCTTCAATTTCAGTTGTTTGTGGGCATCGACCAGGTGACAAGCTGGATCCGAGTTGAGGGTAAGCGTAGACGGAAAGGGTTGATGAGAGGACAATCAGTGAAATTAAGGCTAATTGATTCATTTTAGGAACGAGGTAAAACTAAAGAGTTTATTAACAAAAGTTGAATTGTTGACAGAAGATTTAACTGTGTGAAGTCGAATTGATGATCATTTCTGTCAATTAGCTTGGTTTATATACCAATCCTTCACACCGCAATCAGATCATTTTTCATCGATAAAATGCCTAACTTACTGTTAAGTACAAATATTTCACCCAATCATGGAATTGCCCTCTGATTGAACTACAACTCAACTTATTATTGATCGTAATCAAATTCTTTGCCCTTTTCACTGCTTTGGTGCAATACACTAATAGTATCTTTATTATCTTTAACAATTCCATGTTTAGCTATCCAAGGTATCAAAGAATCTATAAATCGCAAATATGATACGTAAAAATGCTACATTGTGATGTACACATGATCAAAACTATTGTTTGATTCAAATTGTATTTTTAATAGGAAATATAATTATACATATTTGTTGTGATAGTCCATAGTCGAGGAAAATAAGCCTTAGTCGAAAGCATTGAATTGACACTTAGCTAATGCTTTAAAAGTTATTTCCAATGATTACCGTGAGTGTCCATAAAAATAAAACCAATTGGACGAAATTTCATGTTAATTTTGATAATTCATAACTTGACAGGCTTCTTATCTCACTTTTAAATGTCAAGAATCAATGCCTGATTATCTCAGTTGATTATCTACTTGTTGAATGAGTCCGGTTCTACAGTACCCATCCTTCAATGCCAAGCTATCGATTTTGTCTACAAAGCTACAGGTACTCACAACCTACTCAAGGCTATGATTCAACTACACTTTATTCATATTAAACACCAAAAATACTAAAAATGGATTATATTGTGGAATGCTAGCAAATATAGTTTAACAAAAATTCGATCAAATTGACCATGATTTGAGATCAGCAAAAGAATACTTGAGCTTTCTAGGAACTCAGCTTCCTGAGAAAATTATCTGTAGGATTTTAGGAAAATGAGCCATAGTCGAAAGACTTGAGGAGCAAGCAAATTATTTTTTTATTTAATGGCGTTATGGTTTATTGTTGGATGATTTATAAGTGCTAAAACTTTTGCTTTCGTTAAGAGTTGTGGCCTGGTGATTTTTTTGAAACATAAGAGCTGGAACTTTTCATGTGATTAAAAACTTCTATGATCAAGGTTTTCAACAAAATCAATTTCTAAGGTCAAACTTGAATTTCACTCTTATCAGTTGTAAAACCAATTCTATGCCATTTTTTCATTCAACATTCAAAAATTTGTAAATGTGGAATTGATTTATTGTGCTCTACGGAAAGAAACTTGCGACCAGCCATGATCGCACTGACCACTTTGACGAATGAATCAGAAGATAGTGCTTCAAATACTCAAGAGTTCATTGTAAACCATGAAGAATAATTCATGAAGTTAGGAAAACTGGAAGGTTCAGCAAGCGACTTGTGTTTCAATTAAGCAAGACACAAACCTTCTTTTGCTCTGAGGATGATATCTTCATGTTAGCGAATTTTGTTGATTTTCAAAGATTAACTCATAATTTACCAAAAACTAGCATTTGAAATACATGTACAAGTATAAGTAATCTAGCATTTTTGGCTCATGAGATATTGAACAAAAAGTGAGGTAAATGAGACTGAATAGCACTGTGTTTTTCTCTGCTTTTTTTCTGCATCGAAATAGCTCTAAAACTTGGTTATTACCAATTGATTGCCGTAGCCGATTTAACGTTCCCAATGTGCTTGAAGTTGTTCAAATAAGAAAATTTTTCACCATTTTGATCGCCATTGATTTTTAATTGAAGGAATGTTTGGTTGGAACAATGTATTTTTAAAATGCATCTTTTACTCTCGTGCTTACGATAGTATGATTTCATTCAATTTTAGGTCCTACTTGAAGATGTTTCACTCCTCGTGCTGTTGGTCGCTACATATGGAGCAGCAAATTGAATGTAAACACCGAAAGCTTCATTTTGAGATTTCATTATTCAATGTTAACAAAGTGCGAGTCAATAAAATAAATTGCAAAATTTTACAGCATTGGATGCCAACTTTATTTTTCAAAAATAATCATGATTTAATGCTTAGATTTGAGTATTTCCAGCTCCTTGATAAGCTAATAGCATTTAATTTTCACAATTTTGTGTGGTTGATGAAAGGAGGAAAGATGGGATTCCAAGAGTGTCCAGTTTACCAACAAGTCGATTTACAATATCTTCATCTAACTTTGGTTTTCGTGATAAAATCCAAGCGTCCTCTGCAATAAATGAAAATGAAATGGTTAATTATATTGCAATTACCAATAGATATATCAAAGCTGGATTAATACTTACTGACGTTGAATAAACCAAGAACATCATTACAAGAAACAACCAAAGAGTATGTTTCATAGTCAGTATCAACAACCCAGTATTGAGCAGCTGGAGACACTAAAGGTATAAAGGAAAATGAAATTTCAATTATAACTGTGTTTCATTGGATGCTTTCATGAAGCATAGCATTGACCAAATATACTTACATGGGAAGAAGGTGACTGCAAAAACATTTGATTGAGTTCCTGGCTTGGCAGTTCCAAGACTGTAGATTTCAAAGTTAACCAAGTTGACTCCACTGTTGTTTACAGCAACATTGCCGTCTGAGTCGAGTTTGTATTCAGCTTTGACACAACGTTGACCGAATTCAAAGACTAAACCAGTTCGTTTAATTTCATACCATTTTCCAAGATACTGAGGAAGTAAGTAGGAATTGAGTTAGCTTAAGATGAACATAGTGTAAAATCTCAATCCAATTACTTACTTGAGTAAGGTTGAAGCCTCCTTTAATTTCAGTTGTTTGTGGGCATCGACCAACCCAGAAGCTTGATCCGACGGCAGAGAGTTGAGGAATCTTATCTTGTAAGGCTTTCAAGTTAAAGATGTTTGGTAAAGCCGAAGCAGAAAGGGTTGATGAGAGAACAATCAAGGAAATTAAAGCTAATTTATTCATTTTGAAAACTGAATGAAACTCAAGAGTTTGCTAACAAAAGTTGAATTGGCAACACTAGATTTAACTGTATTGAATTGAATTGATGATGTTTTTCAATCAGTCTAGTTTATATAGCAATTTTTTTCTCACTCAAACCTTATTCGGATCATTTTTGAATTGATAAAAGTTCTAGTTTACAGTCGAGTACAAATATTGCATCCCATTGTTCAATTACCCTTTGATCCAATTGTAATTAAACTTTGCACAGATTGAATCGAATTCTTTGCCTTTTTCGCACCTTTTTCAGATTATTATTTGATAATATACACAATTCCATGTTCAACTGTTCAAGGCTATCGAAAATCAATCAATTAGAAATGTGTAGATATGGAAATTCTCATATTGTGATATTCACATGATCGGAATAATTATTTGGAATTCTATTGTACTGTTCATGTAGCAATTATTATACCATCATTAACCATTGTATGAAAATTTCAATTGAAATGCTGCTTATCTCAGAGTGAAGGTTAATAATCTTGATATTGTAGCTTTACATTTACATTGAATCGAGACCATTGATCATTGTGTTGGGTCTCTTTATCATAACTTTGTTAGTTAGGGAAAATAATCTTCACAAACTTGATGCTTGGAACTAACAATTCAATAGCCGAATCAAACTGCTTCTCACAAATTTCTTAGTAATTTTGATGAAACATTCTGATTAGCTTTCATTCAAGGGGTAAAATTATTGGTTGGTGTTACATTTGTGGGGAAATTATTTCAAACCATTTTGCTATTCGTTATATTAGCCCAAACAAGCTGATTATCTCAGTTGATTATCCATTTATTCAATTATTCTGGTTCTACAGTACCTATCTTTCAATGTCAAGCTACTGCTTTTGCTCACAAAGTTGCCGGTACACACAACCTGCACAATTTCAAGGCTATCATTTCCATGTTTGACACTCCAACATATATTATTCAATCATGAAATGTTATCAAATATCGTTTTTATGATATATTCAAATGACTGCCGGGTTCACTGAATTGCTAGCAAGTACACTTGACCCATAAATTCATGGTTTGTTGTCCATTCTGATTTTCATCATTGGCTTTACCCAAAAAAGAATCATATACTATTGTGATATTAAGGGCAATTACTGGTGGAAATCTCAACATTCGGTCATCAGTTATCATTCAACATTTATTACATTTTGTATATTCCAGGTCTACTTCTCAACCAACATCAGTTGTTACTGTAAAGACAAAATTAACTCAATTATACACAGTTTGGAAGAAATGAACGCAAAGGAGTAAAATTTAATTTCCTTTAAATTTAGACTCTCTCGGTTTGTAGGGACATAAAAACTGTGTCCATCTGTGCGATTATAAAGTTTCTCTGAGTGTTAGTTTTTGAGAAAATTGAGGTCAAATTTGAAACTTCGATCGCTTTTTGTACAGCTACGGAAGCAGAATTTTCCACGAAACTCATTTTAATGGTGTAACATTCAATGATAAACCAGAAAATGTACATATTTTAAGAAATATAACTTTTCTTTTTCTGTAAAACATATAAGTTCGATTCAGAGTTAAACCGATCTCTTTCTATGACCGTAAAAGATAGTGAGCTGAAACTAATTATTTGTCCATAAAAATTGTGCTTACATACCATGGATTAAATACTTTTATCAATTTCTGGATAGTTCTCTTGATATTGGCCATTGGTCTTAAAACTTTGAGGTCCAATATTTCGAGAGTGGAATCACTAAAAATCATCATTCAGACACCAATTTGATCTTTACTAACTAATAATACTATTAGATTAAATAACTTAGTATTAGCACATTTGGGTTTCGATTTTAGGGTTGTAAATGCACGAGCAAAGACACATTCAACAAAATAAACTCATATTAACCCATATCTTGGTAAATAAACCATTTTTCTGGTTAAACTTGCAAATGAAATGCAAAAAGTATGCCAAAGACTCGAACATTAGAGTTAAGAGTTGAGAATTGGTGGGTTTGCAGAGACATAAATTGACTGAGTCCATTGGTACTATTAAATGATTCATCCGATGGACAGTTTTTGATAAAATTGAGGTCAAAGTTTAAACTTCCAAAGCATTTTGTTCAACTATGGAAGCAGATTTTCCCACAAAACTTATTCTACTGACGTAACTTTTGATGGCCAAACAGACAATAGTCTTATTTTTGTAAATATCATTTTCGGTTGCTGTAAAACAGATCAACTTCGATTTTTAGTTAAACCGATCTCTTTCTGTGACCATTATAGATAGAGAGCTCTAAATTGTTATGAGCGCGTAAATATTGTTGGTACACATCAATGACTCCATACTTTTTCCAATTTACTAACAGTTCTCTTAATTTTGGCCATTGACCTGAAAACTTTGAGCCTCGATATATCGAGAATGGTAGCAACTAGAACCATCATTATTTGACCAAACATTAGATTTTAATATGGGCTATAATATTGCGAAATATAAAACTATTCAAGATCCTACAAAAGAAAGTTATATCATTGTTTTACTTATGTTGTCAGATTTGAGACTTGATTTATGAAGCTAAACACAAATCTTGTGCGCTAGAAAAATCTTCATTATTGAATGAATTAGCTTCAATTTTATTCGGTATTCAGCCATATACTGTTATAGCTCATAATGAAATCTAATGTTTGGTCAAATAATGATGGTTCTAGTTGCTACCATTCTCGATATATCGAGGCTCAAAGTTTTCAGGTCAATGGCCAAAATTAAGAGAACTGTTAGTAAATTGGAAAAAGTATGGAGTCATTGATGTGTACCAACAATATTTACGCGCTCATAACAATTTAGAGCTCTCTATCTATAATGGTCACAGAAAGAGATCGGTTTAACTAAAAATCGAAGTTGATCTGTTTTACAGCAACCGAAAATGATATTTACAAAAATAAGACTATTGTCTGTTTGGCCATCAAAAGTTACGTCAGTAGAATAAGTTTTGTGGGAAAATCTGCTTCCATAGTTGAACAAAATGCTTTGGAAGTTTAAACTTTGACCTCAATTTTATCAAAAACTGTCCATCGGATGAATCATTTAATAGTACCAATGGACTCAGTCAATTTATGTCTCTGCAAACCCACCAATTCTCAACTCTTAACTCTAATGTTCGAGTCTTTGGCATACTTTTTGCATTTCATTTGCAAGTTTAACCAGAAAAATGGTTTATTTACCAAGATATGGGTTAATATGAGTTTATTTTGTTGAATGTGTCTTTGCTCGTGCATTTACAACCCTAAAATCGAAACCCAAATGCGTTAATACTAAGTTATTTAATCAAATAGTATTATTAGTTAGTAAAGAACAAATTGGTGTCTGAATGATGGTTGCAGGTGATTCCATTCTCGAAATATTGGACCTCAAAGTTTTAAGACCAATGGCCAATATCAAGAGAACTATCCAGAAATTGATAAAAGTATTTAATCCATGGTATGTAAGCACAATTTTTATGGACAAATAATTAGTTTCAGCTCACTATCTTTTACGGTCATAGAAAGAGATCGGTTTAACTCTGAATCGAACTTATATGTTTTACAGAAAAAGAAAAGTTATATTTCTTAAAATATGTACATTTTCTGGTTTATCATTGAATGTTACACCATTAAAATGAGTTTCGTGGAAAATTCTGCTTCCGTAGCTGTACAAAAAGCGATCGAAGTTTCAAATTTGACCTCAATTTTCTCAAAAACTAACACTCAGAGAAACTTTAGAATCGCACAAATGAACTCAGTTTTTATGTCCCTACAAACCGAGAGAGTCTAAATTTAAAGGAAATTGACTTTTACCCTTTTTTGCTCATTTGTTTCAAACTGTGTATAATTGAGTTAATATTGTCTTTTTATTAATAGTAAAAACAACATCTACTACACTTGGCAATTCATCTAATGGAGATCCTGGTGGAGGTAGTACTTTAGATCCTGACTCTGAAAATGGTACAATAACGATAACATTAGAAGAGACTGAGTCAACTGCGCCATCGAATGGGTCTGATGATGGTCTAAGTGTAACGACCCCAAGTGCATTTAGTGTCAGACAATCTACTATGAAAGGTTACTCTTCATCTAGACCATCTCAGTGGATTAATGGCTCATTTGTCACAGATAGCTTGCCAACATCAACACCTTCAAGTCGTACCAATAAGAGTACTCGACCAGTTACTAGTCGTCCTTCAACCAAAGGAGTAACTAGACTACCAACAACGAAGGTGACAGTTTCATCGACTGTAAAACAATCAGGATCAGCTTCAGGAACAACAACAGTTCGACCTTATTTTGAAACAACAACCCAATGCTTACCCGAGACAACCACCATATTTACTTATACAGCAGATGAGATACTGCAATTATCAGAAACTGAACGAACATCTCTTCGAGATTTATGTTGGGAAACAATGTTTGGTCAAGAGTTGGCTAAAATTTTGGTTGCTGATACATTACTGGGAATTGTTATCACCATTGTTGCCGATTATGGAAGAGCCTTGTTTGTTAGGTAAAAATTTTAAGAGAAACGTTTTTTTACAATCGCACAGTAATTGTCTTGTAAATCTCAACTACAATTAAATGTATTTCTCTATTATTTAGATATTGCAACGACTGTAGCTGTATTTTTTGGGATTGGGAGACACAGTTTCCTGGCTATTCTGACTTTCAAATCGCAGAAAATATACTCTCACCCTCACTTGTTAATAATCAAGCTAATATTTGGTAAGTCTATCGATGAAAAAATAGTTTTTGTTTTAACCATTCTGCAAATATGTTATTCAAGTCTGATTTTATCCAATCTAATGTTAAATGCACCATTTTCTCGTCATCTTCAGGCTAGGCATGTTTTTCTCACCTGGTTTGCCTGGAATTAATACAATTAGGTTATGTATATTAATGTATTTACAATCTTGGGCTGTTTTGACCTCAAATATACCTCATGAAACTGTCTTCAAAGTAAGTAGAGAAAAACAAAAATATTTAAGTTTAATCACACTACAATGAGTATGGATGACTCGCTTTCTAGTTTATATTGCCAATGGAACCTTATTAGCACTTCATCAAAGCAAGTTTAAATTAAGCGATACTGATTTAGATTATATCAATGGTTGATAATTTATAATATTATTCAATTGATATTTTTACCGATAGCTAATTGGAACTAAATTTTGAGACAGACCCTAGAGTCTGCGTAGTTTATTTGTTTACATTTTTATACACAAAGTTCATTTTTTTTCGATGATTTAACAAGTGGTAAATTAAATGAAATAATCTGAATCTTTTGAAGATTCTCATGGCTGGTAATCTAGTTTATGATGTTGATAGGAACCACTTTTAATTCTCAAAATTATTTTTATAAATGAAAATTTGACTAAATGCGAGCCCAAATGTGGGATTAACGAAAATATGCTATATGAGGTGAGTCTAAATTATTACAAGATCTATTTAAATTGGTAAACAAATTTAATCTTTACTTTTGATTTAAATTACAGTGATAGGTATTTCTTGGTCGACAATGGCTATCTCACGAAGCTCGGAAAAATATGCCCTCATCAAATTTACATGTGCCTTATTTTTGAATGTTTTGACTTGTTTTTTATTTTATTGGTGTCTGGCATCGCGTTCAGTTCCTGATTCACCTACACCCAAAGGAATTAAAGTCAAAAGGATTCTACCCAGCTATCTTGATGATTCAGAAATATGGACCAAAGAGGCCACAGATCCTCCCATGGAAAATAAAGCTGATGACCAAAATCTCATGCATAAAAACGCAGCCCTCAAGAAAACTAGAAAACATGAATTTTTAGCGGACTGTCGTATGTCTAATTGCTTCAATTTTAATCGCTGTAAGCCTGGTGAACGACTGAAAATACATATCTATCCAGATTCATCTAAAATATCATCTAGTTCCATATCATCAACTTACCAAAAAATTATACAAATTATTGAATCATCTATTTATTATGAACCTGATGAGAGCAAAGCTTGCTTATTTATTACTCGTTATGATTACCTTGATAGAGATCCTTTGAGTCGTGATTGTCAGAAAAATTTGCCCGCTTCACTGCCATTAGACTACGGAAAGAATCATATAGTTTTCAATCTTTACTCCGGAACTTGGCCTGATTATCGAGAACTTGATCTCTATGGATTCAATCTGGGATACTCAATACTTGCCAAAGCAAGTTTCAGCTATCAAAATTACAGACCTGGTTTTGATATATCAATTCCTCTCTTTTCAAAAAACCATTCTACTCGCGGTAAAACCTTAATGGAACCTGAAGATGGACCCGAATATCAATTAGTCGATGATGTGGTTATTGAAACGATAGATACAACTCGATTAGATAGCAGTGATCGAAAGAATCTTTTGGTTTTCAAAGGCAAAAGATACACTCATGGAATAGGAAGTGAAACCCGAAACACTCTTCATCATTTACATAACGATCGAGATATACTCATCTATACTACTTGTAAACACGGTAAAAAATGGAAAGATTTGAAAGATGAAAGATGTGCAAAAGACAATTTGGAATACGAAAAATTTAACTACAGCATATTAATGGCCAATTCAACATTCTGTCTTGTTCCAAGAGGTAGAAGGCTTGGTTCATTCAGATTTTTGGAAGCTTTGGCAAACGGCTGTATTCCGGTTTTATTGTCAAACAATTGGGTTAAACCTTTTGAAGATGTCATCGATTGGTCAGAAATTGTAGTTGAAGGAGATGAGCGAAGTCTTTTACAGCTGCCAGAAATCATAAGATCTTATGAATGGAAGAAGATACAGCAAATGGCAGCAAAAAGTTTGGCTGTTTATGAAACCTATTTTTCAAGTGTAGAAAGAATTGTATATACAACAATAGATATACTCAATGAAAGAATTCAAACTCATTTGAGTTTTACAACATTCTTATGGAATCTGGTCAACCCTAGTTTCACTAGCTTCACTGGTGCCATTTGGTATGATGCTGAATATAGTTTTGATCTGAAAGATTATCCAGGCTATGGAAAACTCAGTGATTCTTACTCGCCATCACGATCATTTCCTTTATCATCATCATCTGTGCCATCAAATTCAATATCACTTCCTCGTGTTCAGGGACCAATTAATGGTTTCACCACTGTTCTTTACATAAACAAACCAATCATGCCAAGCACAATACATAGACTGATCAAATCATTGTCAAAATCTCAATATCTTGTAAAGGTAATTATAACATTATTTCTTGTACAGTATTTAATCATTGATACACTTTGGATTCTTTTTCGATATTTAGATAATCATAATTTGGGCCTTACCCGGTGATCCTCCGTCTATTTTGATGAAAAATCCATTCTATGACTCTTTTCTAGTCTCTGTGGTCATACCTGAAAGCAAAGTAAGTTATTAGAAAAACATTTAATGATTTCAGTTTATTATAAAATGGACTTCTTTTTATTTTCAGTCAATAAATGCCAAACTCTTTCCATATAAGGATATAAATACTTATGCTGTTTTAAGTTTACAGCCTGATACTACCATAACTGTTGAAGAGGTTGGTAACATTAACTAATTTTATTATTTCCAAGTCTAATTTGTTTAATTATGATTTAGCTGGACTTTGCATACCTTGTATGGCTATCATTTCCTCATCGTATCATTGGTTTCACTGCTAGAGATCACTATTATGATGAGGATCGTTATCGATGGTATTATACTTCCAAATGGACAAATTATTATTCTATTATTCTATTGGACGCAGCTTTCTATCATCGGTATGAATTGCTATTTTGTCTAATCCTTATTGATGTTTCGCTAATCTTATATTTCATATTTATATTTTACAGATATTATAATAATCTTTACACCAACTACATATCCAACAACAAATTTTTTGCCCAAAATTTCAACAATTGGGACGATGAGCTTTGTTTGGATTTAATTTTCAATTTCCTGATCTCACATTTAACTCGTGAAGGACCAATAAAAGTGACACAACGAAAAAGAACCTCTAACAGCAGCAGTTCTCTTTACAATTTAAATCCTTTAAACTCACAGGAATGTTTTACATTTCTTTACAATATAAGTTTCAACTATGTTCCTTTGATCAAAAGTCAAATGAGGTTTGATCCAGTTTTATTTAAAGATCCTGTATCTAATTTTAGGAAAAAATATCGCAAACTGGAAGCAGTTAGTTGATTTATTTTGCGAATGCAGTCACTGTATATAATTTTACTAGCCATCTACTACAATCAGGTTACTAATCAATTCTCTACTTTCTTTATACAATTTTTTTTAAATGAATCATGTAAATATAATTTGCCATCAACTGGATAAAAAATAGCCAGACTCTTGAGTATGTAAATGAGTGCAATAAAATCAATTTTTGCATATGCAAATCCAATTCAGTGTAATCACATTTTATGAATATTAAACTATACTTTTTTCAATTCAAATTTAGTAGTTCAGCATTTCATTTAATTAAAATCAGAGAAGATTGCCATATTGAGAAAAACTTACAATGTAAAATTAACCTGTGCGGAAGTATTCCTAGACAAATAATAAACCGTTTTTTAAACTAATTATAAGTCCAATATGCTTGAAATTTCACAGATAGAATCGGAGAGTGCATATCTCTATCTATATCAAATTTTATTTGAATAGCTTCTCTAGTTTACGAGATTTTTTTATTGATTTGATGCGTTCAACTCAGCTGAAAACCTTCTTTTTGGAAAGGGCTTGCAAGCGCACATCTTCAAAGTCCTGTAGCATCGATCGTATTCGTAATTTTTTTTTTATTGAAACTTCTCAAGATTACCTGAAGTTTAAAGTATATGTTGATGCTTTTTCGCGTTAAAAAAGCGCTACAATCAAAAATTATAAGCGAATTATTAGTAAATGATAGGGAAAAAATTTGAAAATCTCAATTTTACAAGCCTAAGAAAAACATGGCACAAAAAATTTATCTTGTCACTTAGAGTGGATTTGATAACTTCAGTTGAAAATTTGGACTTCAAGCTTTCGATTCATATATAAAATAATTTATATTTGCCATAAATTATTTGTTAAATTTGATCAACAAAATTTGTCTAGAAATAAGTCCGCACAGGTTATTTGTTAGTGCAATCAATTTTAAACAGAAACAGTTTTAACGTACAGATGTTTTTTTCGCTCAATCTGTTTTTCAATCATTTTTATAGCTTCAGCTAAAGTATTTGAATTCCTCATGCTTTGTGAAATGGCTTCAACTCGATTTTTTATTTCCTTGTCAGCAAATACTTTCTCAATGCAATCGAGAAAATAATCTTCATCAAGATCATATGGATTGACACGAAAACCGATTTTCTTATCAACAACTCGTTGTGCATTGTCAAATTGATCGTAAAAATAGGGAAATACAATCATTGGTTTTCCATAGTAAAGTGTCTCCATGAAAGTATTGTTTCCTCCGTGTGTTATAACCAGATCAACACTTTGAATCACCTCAAGTTGATTTACAAAATTTTCTCCCCACATATTGTCAGCCAATTTGAGTTGATCACCTCGAGGTCCTTTGGAGATGATAAATTTATGAGGTGATTTAGCTAAAATATCAATAAACTTTTGCAGCATCATTAAATCAGCTGATCCCAGTGATCCCAAAGAGAAGTAGATAAGTTTTCCAGGCTTATCTCTCAACTGTTCTGGCATAACAAAATCCATATTAGAATCAGGTTGACGGATGAATGATTCAACTCGATGCCAATTGGATTCAATTGGTCCACATTCAGTGTAGTCTAAGCCGGCTGGATAATGATAGAAACCAATGGTTTGAGGATGGTCAACGTATCTTAATGGATCAAATCTGGCTTCTTTAAGACCAGCAGCATCCAAATCTGTATTAACGGCTTCAATAAACTTAGCATGAGCTTCACGATAGATCTTTCTGAATTCATCCCAATTAGACTTATCACTGTTGACAGAGTAACCAGAAAATGGTGGAGGTCCTGATGGATATAATACCAATGGATTCAGCGAGCAAATTGGGAACCAGAGGATTGGATTCTTGTACAAAGGCGGAGATGGTGAAACGAAATCGACGATTATTGCATCAAATTTAACACTTTCATCAGAAATGATTCTATCCAAGGCCTGATTGATTAAATCGTAATGAACAGATCGATTTTTGAAAGCTTCATCTTCATTTGGAGACTTTGTAAGGAAACGTTTCACTGGATCTTTGCGAAATTTGTCTGCGAGCACATCAAGCCAACTTAGCTTTATTTCATCTAAATTTACATTCCATAGTGTTTCATCAAACGAAATGAATGAAAATCCTTTTTCAACAAACATATGTCGATATTTCTCACGGTGGACGCAGCAAACTTCATGTCCAGCAGCTTTTAAACCTTCAGAAAATCCTAAAATTGAATTGATGTGTCCAGCTCTGAGAAAGAAACAAAGAAATGAATTAAAACCTTATGCATGAGAAATTAATGGAAACAAGTTGAACTGGGCAACAATTTTTATATTAAGAAGCTATCGATTAGATTGAAAAATTTAGTTGTTTGTCTAACATAACAATTGATTGATACTTACGCATCGATTGCTGTCACTAGAAAACGGTAAGATGGCATATTTTTTATGCGTAAATTTATTTCTATCACAAGTTAATTTGAACTGATTCGCAATGTTGACTAACGTATTATTTTATTCAACCGGCAACTTTTATAAGGCAATCGCAGAGACATTCACTAATGATAACTTTTAATCGGGATAAAAACTGAGTAACATCGCTTACAAAATCAAGGACGAAGAACATTTTATCACAATGAATTTGCCTCAGAATGTAATTTTTGTTCCCTTGAAATTGAAACAGTTAGGTAGCTTAAACGAACTTGTTTTCATTAAATGCTTTTATTGCAACTGATAAAGACTCTGAAAGATTAATAAAAGGATAAAGTTCAGATAAGATAATCTTACAAGGAAAGTGACCTTGCTTGTACGATCATTTTCGATTTTTTTCGAGTTAATATTGTAGAGGACAAAAAATACGCCACTCCATAAGGGTTATGCGAGGCCATTTACAATATTGAGACCTATATGTTGATTGAAGTAAAGAACTTTTTTTTCTTCTTCAGGACTCGACTTTTGGATTCTCTTCATTT